TGGATCTTTTTGAGGTCCATGTGATCAGAAAATATTGTTAATTATGATTTTGAAAAAATTATGGTGATAATTGTAGGGGAAATTTGAATTTTTAATTAGATGTAAGTAGATAACTGTATGAAAGATATCAGTTATGATAGTTGAATTGTTTAGTATATAGTAATCTTTTTTTTGGCAAGAAAATTTCTGACAATATATCCAGATAATTTAAATATTATTGGATAACTATGATTTTGAAAAGATCATGGTGAAAATTGTAGTTGGGAAATTTAAATTTTTAATTAGATGTAACTGTATGAAAAATATCAGTTGTGATAGTTGAATTGTTTGGTATATAGTAATCTTTTTTTTGGCAAGAAAATTTCTGACAATCTATCCAGATAATTTAAATATTATTGGGTAACTATGATTTTGAAAAGATCATGATGAAAATTGTAGTTGGGAAATTTGAATTTTTAATTAGATGTAACTGTATGAAAGATATCAGTTGTGATAGTTGAATTGTTTGGTATATAGTAGTCTTTTTTTTGGCAAGAAAATTTCTGACAATCTATCCAGATAATTTAAAAGGAAAATAATACTATTACTATTTACAAATACTGTAATATATTACTTTTCTTTCAATTATAATAATAAATATTTTCATGTTCAATCTAATTTATCAATCTAAAAAAAACTATTTTTACTATATTTATACAATTAAATAAATATACACACCATATTTTAATATTTAAAATTATAAAAATCCTAACCATAAAATATAGACCAAAAGAAATAGTTTTCAATCCATAATCACCATATCCTTACTAAGTACTAACCAGTAGTTCCCATCCCACCCCGTGCAATCAGAATTCCACTCCTCCATATATCTCCCAACGGTTAAAACAGTTAAACCACCTACAACAATCAATACCTCAATGCCCCATACCTAAACTCCAAAATCCTCGCACCCCCATACACAACATATACATACACACTCACTTGAAACTTTCTCTCCAACCTCCATCATCCAATACCAACTGCTATCCAAGTCCTCCAACCAGGCCAGAATCGCTGAATTGTCGCGGTTCTAAGCGAAAAGGAGGTAAGAAAATTCAGTTATGCGTGGACGCACACTGGACCGAGTCTAGGTGGAGTTGTGGACGGGGGGAGGGGGGGTGGCAAGGCGTGCGTCGCCTGGACAAGGACGTGTTCCGGGATCTCCCCGTGACCGGGAGTAGCCACGACATTCCAAAATGCTTTCTCCCACTCCA